TTCTCCTTGTCGCATTTATATATATATATATATATATATATATATATATATATATATATATATATATATATATATATATATATATATATATATATATTGGTACTGCAAATTAGTGACGATTGTAATGTGTTATTTTAAAACGTATGTGTCGACATCTGTTATACTTGTAGAATTTGAATTTTGTGTCCCCACATTCAAAAGCAGAATGAAATTTGTATCCTTTGTTCCACTTCACCTGAGCAAATGTATGGGTGGAGGGACCTTAGTCAGGCAGAGGTAATCTGACTTTAGTCCCTTCAACCTAGGCAATCATTGTTTTTGTCTGAATAAACAGTGAATGAATAAATACGCTCAAAGCGGCCGAAGTTCGCAAAGAAATGCTTCGCATTTAATACCGAGGAAGTTAGTCTTCGAGTAACACTCGCACTCAGTCTGCATTTTTGTTCAAGTGCCGTGCTGGTTGAAGATGGACGTGTTTACATGTTGAGACAATTTCACGCCGGTTGCGTTGGTCGCTGCAGTCGCTGGTCGCGTAGGTCGCTTCTAGCGTGAGCCTCTAGAGTTCTCGCGTTTTGTTAACGTATCCTCGCTGTGCCCAGCGTGCGCGTGCGTCAACGCAGCATTAAAGTATGTTGGGCCCTTCATGTGTCGCTCGCGGCCGTTTTACTGGCTCCACATATGCCAAATTCGGTGTTACGTGACGTCAATGCATGACGGAATATATGAGAGGTGCAAACATATTGATAATCCTGACACACGTGTCATGTAAGTACATGTCAACATACAACGCTCGCGGCTGTTTGGCTAGCTCTATAAGTTTCCTAAATTTGGTATCACGTGACGTGAATAGACGATGAAGGCAAACGACACATCCAAACATGATAATAATGACACGGAAGTCATGTTCGGCATTATTTACCTCCACCTCGTAACGTTGTGCTGATATTAAAGTGACACATCAATCTTTCCCATTCCTGCTTCGCATATCATCGATTCCCATTGTACGTGGGATCTGCCATTTTTTTTTAATAGGCAGAAAGCATACGGCGCGTCGTCTGCTACGGTACTCCCGATTCGAAGTTCATCTCTTCGCCGCTTGAAGGTGCCTACTACGCAGTGTAATTAAGAGGAAACACGTGCGATTCCGCGTCGCGTTTGTTGCCGCTTGTTCAGTGATTGTGTTCTTCAATTATTTTTGCGAATGAATACATGGTATTTCAGAGAACGAATCGAGAAGTGGAAAAGGGCAAATACGAGGGACAATAAGAGAGGGTTTTTGAGCGCAGCGTGTGACTATGCTTTGAAACACGCAGTAATCTTTTGCAGAAGCTCCTCGATTTAGTATTTTTGGGCACAAACGGTGGCCATGAGCCTCAAAGTCATTCTCACATGTGTAAGCACGTGCTGTGTGTACTATCTACATACGTACGCTGACAGCATCATTACGCGTACTATGCCAGATCAGGTATATCTGATGCAATATGTTTGTACGGCATACTCTTGCATCGGCTATTGTGTGCGAAATTTATGGAAAATGAGTGCGCAAACGTCCCACGGGACAAAGCGGCTGCTCAGTTCGCGGTATCGTGGGATGTAAAACAATCGAAGTATTTTTCGAATCAATGAGCTGCATGAGGTGGCGTCTCTGTTACGTCAGACTTGAAAGCGTGAAGTGCTGATAAGCTGCTTTATACTCCGACTCATACCCTTAAGGGCTATGCTACACAAACGGAAATTTTTTCTACGCGACTATTTGCTGCTGGACATTGTGGGGGGGGCCGGAGCTTGTTCACGCCGCAGTTCTGCGGCTTTTGCCCGCTACCCCCATATTTCTCAAGGAGAAATAAAAGCTGATTGATTGAAAAAAAAACTTTGTTGAGTGTGAAGAATTTCGCGTGAATTGAAACAATTTCCGAGTGCGGGAGGGAACGACATCTGAACTAAACCGAGATTTCGAAGACTAAAAAAAATGCCAGAAAACTACGAACGCATTTCATTTTAGGAGTAAGAAACATTTTACTACTGCCATTCACTATGTCCACCTGGGATGTTATCTTTGCAACACAGGAGTGAATAAAGGATTTTATAATTGAAAAACATTAAAACGAATAGACGGATATTTCACGGCGATATGATGTGCAGGAAAGCTTCTGCGTACGACAAAACATGTGCGAGAACACCTCTTACGCTAAAACAGCATGTATGTGCCCCGAGATGAATGTTGATTGGATGAAGAAATGACCGCTGACAACTTTAGAACTATCTCGTAGTGTTTACATTTTTTTATTCTACTAAGTTACTTATCACTTCAACGTGTCAAGCAGGAATTAGTGTGAAAAGGGTACAGCAAGTGCCAGGTGGAACACGCAGAAAGCGAAGGCTCGGCGTCTCACACAGGAAGTTTATGCAGAAGGGCGCCGTAGTCCAGAGTTCTTCGCGTGCGCCCCGACTTGGCTATCCACCTATTCTATTGCAGCGTGAAGATGAGCTTTTAACAGCGAAGCCGTTTCAGTCGGAGCCCAAAAACAAGTGGGCAGTGCCAGTACTGTGGGGAAGTGGCCAACACTTACCATATGGTCTCGGCCTTCCAAATGAACCCAAAATTAACCCCCTTTCCTAACCCCACCAAAGAGGACTGGGAGACGACGCTACTCAATAGCTCCACACTAGAGGAACAGCGAATTCTAGTCCAGCGGGCTCGGGTGGCGGCCTCGACTAATGACGTCCCAGACTAGGGATGTCAACGAGCCCGGTGGGAATAAGGTCTATCTGGCACAGCCAGCATCAATAAAGGTTTTTTCCTCCTTCCTCAGTTGGAGGCTATGCCGTCAGATGTTCACAGAAAAACTTCACTGAGCCATGATGTCCCCATGCGTGTCCCAACAATTTGTCAGATCAAGTTATGGAAGAGGGAGAGAATGAGTAGATCCGTAAAGCGAAATAACTTTTCATGTTCAGGTGGGTCTCTAACCACTGTACCCACGGCCCGAAGCCAAGCGTGGCAACAACTGGTTTATGCATGCAAGCTATTGGAACAGGCGTTAACAGGGACCATATGATTGCGTTACTGGGGGCGAAGGACCAAGAAAAGATAGATAAACAAATATGAAGAAAACAAAGAGAAATAAATAGTATGACAGAAATGAAGTTATAGGAAGGGAAACAGAGAGAGACTCAACTTGGCTTTGTCAGGCTTTTTCGTCTCTATGTGGCTACATCTTGGCTTAACTGGCGATCTCTAGGCGTGGCTTTGCCGATGTGCCGAGGAAGGCCGCCCAGATTTGCTCTTCCTTCAAATTTAACACTGCCAAAGCAAAGCCGTCCCAACTTCTTTAAACAGCGACGCTGCTAAAGTCAACCACCAAACGTGGAACCTGGTACGAAACTATCCTTATCATGAACTGCTGCGCGCTAGAGCATAGAATTTCTTATAATTAAATGTAGAGGGAACTCTGGTACTGTGGTCGTTCGGCGACCATGGGAATGATGGGTAGTACATGAATCTGTCTATATATTCATGCTTGCGGGTTTCGAATGCAGTTGAGGCTTCGTTTATGGCAGCGTCTGTTTTGTTTCCAAGAATAGAACAAACCGTTTTGAACTTCATGACCCGATTCGAACAGGAGGGCCTCAACAGATCCAATTTGTGAAATGCAACCGATGAGCTATTGCTGATTGTTCTTTCGTGACAAAGCAGCTTCAAGCCACACGAAGCGAAACGGAGCATGAAGTACGAAGATTAGACAAATCCATGTACTACCCATCATTCCCATGCTCGCCGAAGTGCCATGCGTTGCAACACCCATAAACACTAGCGCCACAGTTCCCTATAGTGTATTTATAGGAAACTATGTGTCAGAAAACTTGTGGAAAGTCCCATTTTTCGTCACGATGGCGTGGCCTGTAATAACCTTAATGAGTGAGAAAACATGTACAGAGAGCGAGGCAAGAAATAAAGAGAAAGAGAAAGACGGGAAGCTATAAAGAAAGAGGAATGTTTCGCCGGAAAAAAATTTGTTCACGATGCTATATTCGAGACCCCATACCGTAGACCCTAAGGCAAGCATGCTAACCATTCGGAAGTCTTGACACGCTACAGCAGAGCATAGCATAGCCTTGTATAATATGATGAAGGAAAAAATACAGAGAAAGAAATAAGCGCGAGGAGGAAAGTCATGGTGAGGAGGATGAATGGAGAAGAGGAGAGTGCGAAGCGTAGCGCAACAAATAATAAAGAATAGCACAGAGGAAGAAATGCGGAAACAAAAGTAAAGAGAGACAAAGAAAACACCAACAAAAGAGCGAAAATATAGAAGCAACCAAGCCATGCCCCCTCGTGGGAGACAGCATTGCACCCTCCACTTATTATATATATATATATATAGTACATATATAGCCTGGCTGCATCTGTTTTAGGGGGGAAGCTCCATAGGCCGTGGGTCATCCCCTCTTCAGTAGTAGTAGTAGTAGCAGTAGTAGTGATAGTAGTAGTAGGAGTAGTAGCAGTACTAGTAGTAGTAGTAGTAGCAGTACTAGCTGTACTAGTAGTACTAGTAGCACAAGTAGTATTAGTAGTACTAATAGTACTAGTAGTACTAATAGTACTAGTAGTAGTAGTAGTAGTAGTAGTAGTAGTAGTAGTAGTAGTAGTATGTAGCCACCAGTAGTTTATGAGTTGGTCAATAGATGGCGTTGTGTGTATGTGTCCGTATAACTAGATAGCGTTAGTGGCTTTCACAGCATGCACACGTGCTGCGATTTTTTTAGTTATTTCTCCAGGCAGTCGTGGCGCGTGTGAAAAGAAGTGCGTACTCCAGAGGAGGAAGCCATATGCACCTCGAAGCTAGACGTGTCAGCCAACGGGGAGCCCGTACGAGCGGTGACGGGAACATGCTCCGCTGTGACGAGCTGTGTGCGACTTGATGCAAACTTGATCATTTTTTTTCCCACTGACCAAGAAACGAATACTCAGATTGCCACGTTCGTAAACTGTGACTGACCTTTCTCAGCGACACTGGATATCGGTAGATCCAGGTTGTGCGCCATGTTTCCCAGCACGGCGAATACGACCATGGCGCCCGCGATGCTCGAGAAAAAGTCGGCCATCGTGATGATCATGATGTCACTGGGGAAGAAGACAAGGCATTTGTCGATGGAAGCGAAGCCACTTCACGAGTGACATGGCCATATCCAGAAATTTTTTTTTCGCGGTCGCTCGTGTGCAGAGTAATTATCGCTTAGAAGGATTGAAAGTGTCATATTGGTGAGTGAAGAATCCATGACATCGCTTAAAAACGAAATAATAATCTTTGACGATTCGTGAATTCCGTGAACGAAATTCGGCAACTCGTGGTCGCATTGAAAGCGTGTAAATATTTCAGTAAAAATTAAAAAAAAAATCAAGAGCACAATAATTTTGGGGGGTGAGCTTAAGTCGGCGTGCTTTATCGCCAAGTGGGCGCCTGGTGCTCCAAATATCGGCAGTGGCCGCGCTGGAACTCCTAACGGGCGAGGTACATTCAAGCGGTCACTGGCGTATGACATTGGTGGGGTATTTATATAAAGGTCCATATGTCCAATAGTACAGGGCCACACTAACAGAGGAGCTCATGGCTGACCTACATAAGTACCCAAAGTAAGTAGGAATGCACTAATTCACACTTTTAATTCAGATAAATTATGTGATCGATTGTATTGCCTGAATAAAGCAGGCCCGCATTCTTGGGTCCTAATTAAGCAAGTTGCTGATTAGAAAAAAAGTTTGATGTAAAAATAAGCAATACTTTAATGAACATTTTTTAATTATCAAAGTATGCGCAACCATGACCATCTGCGGCGATGAATATAGAGCACCTATTTGCAGAACTTTTAATCGACTCATGGCTACTTCGCATATTTTTTTTACTCAGGGTTCCCTTTATGGGGATATGTATGCGATGTTTTTGTGTAGGGAACTCAAGGCATAGCTCACCGGCGGAGATCGTTGCGAAAGTCGTTGAAGCTGCCCAAGCATATGATGGTACCCATCGAGGCACCGAGCGAGTAGAAAATCTGCTGGCACGCCTGCTGCCATACCTGCGATGTCGGAAGTTCGGCATGCAGCAATCGACTCTTCTTGCAGCTGAGCTGCTCCCACTTTTATCAAGCATCCGCTGGCCGGCATTAACAGGCAATCTTATCCTTTCCTCCCGTTTTTCTTATCGCATTTTGCGTTTAACGCTTTTTATAACCAGCTATGAAGCCACTATTCTCAAACCGACCTCCGTGACCATTTCTCTTGCTTACCAATTTTATGCGATCACGAGCATTAGGCTCACAAAAATGATAAGGAAAATGAGATTGAAGCACAAGGTCGACTTGCGAACACGGGCCTCATACTGCTTGATGCGGTTGACTTACGAAGCCGGATAATATCTTCTCCCATTGTGGGATGAACAGGTAGGCGATGCCCGTGCCCGCTCCCGGTAGGGTGACTCCTCGAATCAACAGCACGGTTAGAATGACGTATGGGGCGGGAGCGGTGAAATACACGACCTGCAGAACAGATAAAAAATTAAGAAGTTTTTAACCATGCAGCACTCACTCAGTGAAGTCTTTGCGAAAAGTGAAAGAATATTGAACGTTTTAGACTTATTAAAATTACCGCGTTGGACTGTACTCTTGACATTTAATTTATTTCTTGTTTCGTTTTACCGTTACATTGTATTAGGAACCATCATGACGTAAGTTACCGGCATTGGAAACAGAAAGTGAATTAAGAAACCAGAAGTAAGGACCAGAAATGAATGTAAAGGCAGATGTTTGTAAGCGGACATCATGTCCTCTAACTCAACATGAATGGTAATGGCCTAGAAGACTACCTAATCTACCACGGCAGATCAGTAGCTATGGTGCTTGGCGACCGATCCAAACATCAAGGTTCAGTACTAGCCACGGCGGTCGCATTGGTAGAAGCCCGTTAACTGAGCGATGTCAGTAGACGTTACAAAAGAACCAGATCATCAAATTTTTGGCATCCTTCCACTACGCGTCTCTCGTAATCATATCGTGGTTCTGGGACGCTAAACCTCAAGGCCCCGCCTACACTCAGGGGTGTTAGTGACTCATCAATTCGCACGACAAGAGCCGGCAAAGCTGGGAGCAAGAAACACTTTTAATTCACGATTCAAAAGAATCACATCCAGCCTTCCAGATCAGCACGGCACTAACGCATATAGGAGGACCAAAAGCTCGCAACGAACAATGCCCGCAGACTGGCGGCAAATGGAACACACGGTACAAAACGCAACGGCAGGAAAGCAGGCGTGAAACAACGGCAGGAAAGCAGACTCACACGCAACTCGCAGTAGAAGACGAGCCAACGACCCCACCTTAACGGACGCCCCAAACAGGAGTGGCCTCTGGTCTGCAGCACTCATGGAGAAAAACCATAGCGCCTAGCGCGACCATCACCGCATCCCATCGCCCTGCCGCCAAAAAATCCCGCGGGCTAGTCTCAGCTTCCTTCTTATCAGATCGCCGCTTTGTCGCCCCCTGTGGCCTTCTGGAAGCGCTGCATTAAAGAATCTCGATCCGTGCAGAGAAGGCGAATGAGCGCATCGCTGCACGTAAGATACGAGCGCTATCTGGCAGTTATCTTCGAAAGCGAAGGAAGGCGTGCGCGACCACGGAGAAAGATGCATGCCTGTCTCGGAGGCGATAAGGTGTAGAACGCAAAGCGACGGGTAGGTGCCACCACCGTGTCATCTTAGCAAAGCGTTGGAAACACTCGCCTTTTTGAGCATCGCGTTGCACTGTCAGCGCAGCGTGATAAATGCTGCGGTCCTTAGAATTACTTACGTGTGCATTTTCTGGTATAAATACGCACATACAAAATATCTACGTGTTGTTATGGTGCCTCATATATGCGCAATTATTGCTTTTTAATTGACAATCGCACAAGTATGAACACTGAACCTTGAGCAACATTGGTGGGCGCTGCGGATGGGGTCGGCCGTTTGGGGCATCGGCTGGTTCCGTTTAGAGTACCGTTACCGTTAAGAATGGACAAACAGAAAAATGTACACAGACAGATAGTCCAAAATTTTGGCGTAGAAGGTTCACAAGAAAGACTATAGTCTTTAAAAAAACAGGAAAAAGACTTTGCCATGCGGAATCAAATGTGGAAAGTCCGCGTCATGAATGGGAGGCGTTAACCACTGAGCCAGCCACTGAAGGGTACCTCCTTCAACGCTCAAACGGCAAGCTATTCGTATTCGTACCACTTACCGCTAAGGGCGGGCATCTCGTGGAAGGGTCTATCGTGTTTGCAGCATTATCAGCAAGATGGCGTAGTGCGCACGCGGCGGCTCTAATCTTTTACGCGTACTTTAGCCCGTGTAGAGAATAAGGAGGTGGGGGGGTGCACGCTCGATCGCTCGCCCTTATCTTGCAGTAGGGAGAATAGTACGTCTTGGCTAACATTTGTGTTTCGTCGAAACGATTATGTTGTAGTGACCGGGCGCACAAAGGTCCCTCCAATCATTGCACAGCCTCCGTTTCCGAAAAGGGCGCGCTTTTCAGACACAGCGAAGTAACCACTGAGACGCTTATTCGTGCTCATCTGTACCTGTGAGTACGTTTCGTGCGTCCTTTGTGCGTGAGAAACCCGGGGAACGTTCAGATCTGCTTGCCATTCTGCGCATGACCTTCCAATTTGTTGCTATTGCATTCATTGCTTTGCATTTGTGGCGAAGCTGTGACTTCTTTAGTATTATTAAGTTACCTTTCAGCATCAATGCGGAATTACAATCGTCGCTCTGAAGAAGCCATTTGCGTAAGTCTGGCAACTGCACAAAGAAAGTGTTCACATTTAAAAACAACTGAATCAGAATCGACAGGATGTAATACCTACGTCATTACTTGAAGAGTGTCAGCACAGTACTACAAGAATGAAATAAATTGCGCCGTAGATGCAGCCACCCTTTTTTTGTCTTAATCACCATTCGTACTAAGATATTCGGTAGAATATTTCAGCAAGAGAAAATAGGCGTCGTTTCCGAGATAGTTACGGTGCAATTGTGTATTCCGCTGCTATTCAGACCACTATGATAAAAAATAACATTCACGCATGCACATAAGTGTGTTAACACAGAGGTTGACGTCACTTAGGTGCTATGGCATTAATATGAGGTCCAGTCGTTACAGCATGGCCAGTTCTTTCAATCTCCGATGCTTTACGTGCTAAACTACAATATACCGTAAAATCCTGATTGATTGATTGATTTGTGGGGTTTAACGTCCCAAAACCATGCATCACTCGACCAACCATTTCCCGATAACAAGACCTTTAAGGATGAGCAACAAAGGGACAGCACCATACAACAGCTTCTTGCTACCAAACCAAAATCATCGCCTACGCGCTTCTGCATCCGAGACGGGCTAGTTTACAAAAAGAACTACACCAAAACCGGCTCACGATATCTTCTGGTGGATCCGAAGAGTCTTCGCGTTTATGTCTTGCAGGCTATGCACGATGACCCAACATCCGGTCATCTAGGCACAGCGAAAACTCTTTGCCGTCTTCAAGAAAGATTCTACTGGCCCAAAATGCGCCAGACGACGGAACAATACGTGTCTAGCTGTAACGAGTGCCAACGCCATAAGCGCCCAACAAGTGCTCCTTTAGGGCGATTACATCCGGTGCCGCCCCCTAGAACTCCATTCGAGCAAGTCGGGATTGACCTCCTTGGACCCTTTCCCCGGTCTTCTGATGGAAATCGCTGGATAGTCGTTTGCACCGACCATTTAACACGGTACTGCGAGACAGCTGCAATACCATCGGCAACTGCAGCCGATGTGTCTTCCTTCATGCTACGTTTTGTAATTATTCGACATGGACCTCCCAAAATATTAATCAGTGACCATGGCCGACAATTCACAGCAGACGTGATGGAAGAGATGCTTCGTGTCTGTGCTCAAGGTTTCGGCACTCTACGCCATATCATCCCCAAATGAACGGTCTAACTGAACGAACGAACAGAACTCTCTCGAACATGCTGTCTATGTATGTTGCATCAGATCACAAGAACTGGGACAGTAATATACCCTTTGTCACATATGCATTCAACACCGCTCAGCATGAAACTACCGGCTACAGTCCTTTATTTCTTCTATATGCTCGACCACCTCGTCATACCCTGAATACCATCTTCCCGTGTTTGGACCACCATGATCCCAGCATATCCGAGATCATCTATCGGGCCGAAGAAGCTAGACGCCTTGCTTATTTGCGCACTCTTGCATCGCAAGACCGCTAGAAGGCACATTTTGACCGCCGACGCCGACACGTGACGTACAATCGCGGCGACCTAGTGTTGTTGTGGACACCAGCTAGAAAACGCGGTTTGAGCGAGAAAGTGCTAGCGCACTATGCGGGGCCTTATCTTGTTGTAGACCTTATCAGTGAATTAGTTTACCGCATAGCGCGTCTCCATAAAAACGGCCGACGGTCTCCAAAAACTGAACTTGTCCATGTTACACGTTTGAAGCGCTTTATTCCTCGAGAGACTGTTTGACTCGCACAGGGGGCTTCGTCTGCGCGGAGGGAAATGTTACCACATGTGTAATTTAGGTATGTGCACCTGTGTAGCAGGAGACATGGTGGTGACAGAAGAAGAGGACGTTCGGTGGTGGCAAGAGCTCGCTGCTGCGCGTTCACTGCTGTATACTGTCGAGTCGACCGTTACGTCAGCTCTGAATAAATTCCTCTTGTAGACGTAACAATATGATTATGAGAGACGCCGTAGTGGAGGGCTCCGGAAGTTTCGACCACCTGGGGTTCTTTAATGCACACCCCAATCTGAGCACACGGGCCTGCAGCAGTTCCACCTCTATCAGAAATGCACCCGCTGCAGCCGGAGTTCGAACCCACAACCTGCGGGTCAGCAGCCGAGTACCTTATCTTAGCCACTAGAACACCGCGGTGGGGCTACCGTAAAATCCTAAGCAAGCCACTGTGTAAAGTAGTCCGACAGATTTGGAGAGGAAGGGGGAGGGATGGCATTTGCTCGGTTATGGAGCGAAATTGCATATGGCCGCCCGGAAAAACCACAAGAATAAAAATGCACACTCATGGTTCTAACGAAGTACTTTATCGAGGACGCATATGTTCACTGCTTCCGAAATAGTGAATCAAACGGTGAAAATAATGATGGGTGGGGAGCGCTTGCTCCTGTCATTGGCGCATACTGCAAATCTATAAAAAGGGAGGGCGTGGATGCTCGGATTTTTACGGCATATAATTATGAGGCGCATCATAATACATGGCTCTGGAAATTTCCACCAATTGGCGTTCTTTAACGTGCACTCACATCGAGCAATACACGGGCCTCTATATCGTCTTGCGTCCACCGAAACACCGCGGCCGGGTTCGAACCCATGACCTTCGGGTTAGCAGACGAGTTCTTTATATCGAAAATTGTGCTCGTCGCGTCCAGTTATCAGGTCTGCTATATGAATTCCCGCGGCATTAGTTCCTTCATTTGATGTTAGTTTTGTTTTGTTGTCGCATACTAAACTACACCCTTCATTGTAATGATCACTTGGCAGTGCGTACACATTAAGGCACGCCCGGTCATTAGCTGCTGGTCGAGACGTATATGCCTAAGTTCTCAAGCAGATACTCGAAGCATGAACATGCAGCAAACGGTTTCCTTTCAATCGCTGGTGCGTACCTTTCCTGACGTTTTGATTCCCTTGATCAGGGCGATGCAGACGAAGATCCAGGCGACGAAGAGGCTGACCGTCAGGTCGACTTTAATCCTGCCCGGCTCGTCAATGCCGCTGCTAATGTTCAGCACGCTATGGCTGCGAAATACAAGCGATAGAAAAGTGACCACACACACCAGTAGCCTACTTGTTAACCCTATATTAGAATGAGTTCTGCGATATCCCGTTCCCTGCGCAAAGTGTTTTGAAAGTAACAGTTGACAACCACGAATTTGGCTTCGTGCTACGTTGCATAGAATTTTTTTTCGAAAGGAGTGTTTCTCTGTTGTAGAAAAATTCACCTTCGTTAGGGAATCTAACCCATGACCAATAATTTTACAAGGTGGTCATTGTAATGGTTCGAGTTGACCATGCAGGATTTAAACAAGTGGTAGTGCGAATGAGAAAGAACGAACTCGAAACACATGCGCACAGAATGTTGCGAGGGAATTTCGCGGAACCCCCGCAAGGCGACTGCAGATATATGAAAGGGGTAACAGTAAATTGGTTCTTGGTAATCGACTTCAAGCGCGTGATTTTCACTCCGTTTTGCAAAGCCTGTAACAACAGTTTTAATGCGCCCGAAGCGCACAAGATGGCACCTTCTCGTTTCACTTACTATGTATGCTCCTAAAGCTTTAAAAACGTTCAAGAGAACATTTGAGAACCTTGCCGGTTAAATTTGAAAGCATGCATATTACGCGGCCCCAAATAGACGAATTCGCTGACGATTGATTCGATGGGCTGCGGCATTTACGACATCAAGAGGCTCAGAACATGAACAGTTTTCAAGAAAGGAAACATCATTTGCGAAAACATCACTGTCGTATAGACAATTCCAAGGTTTGTTCGCTGTCATATTGTTACGGGGAAGTTTATTTGTTTATTTGGTGGAAGGTGCAAGGTATTCAAACAACCCGGCTCTGGAACTCTGCAGCGGACGCCACCTTTGTCTAGCCGTGATGCTCAAAACCGGGACCCAAGCCTCACAGTGTGTGCCGGCTCAATTACCTGTAATCTCTTTCCATCTTCTCGACCCTGGCACGTTTTGCACCACGGACAGCCCAAACATCGAAGAATGGCTTGTCTCGTTCGAGCACGTCAGCAAACACTACATGGGGGGTGAAACGCTTATGCTGGCACTGATTGTTTTCCGGCTCAAAGGTACGGCCCGTGCCTTGTATGAGACGCATGAAGAAGAACAAACCAGCTGGGACATGTGCAAGCAGAAGCTTCGCGACTTGTTCGGTCGATCAGTTGCACGACAGATGGCAGCCAGGCATAAACTCGCGTCGCGTTTTCTATAATCGTCAGTGCGGTACGTCGCAAACATCCAAGACGTGCTGGCACTGTGCCGCAAGACTGACAAAGGCGTGTCGGAGGCGGACAAGGTCAGTAGCGTGTTGAAAACATCGCTGATGATTCTGTCAACGTACTGGTGTATATGAACTGCACCACTGTCGACTCCACCATATCCGAATGCTGGCGCTTTGAACAGGCTAAAAGCAGGCGAATTACCCCGCACCTCCACCAAAACAATGTTACGGGGAAGATTTATTCCATGACGGTGGGCCTTGCTAACGTCATGCAGAGCGCATGGTATTGCATGTAAACAGGGCAGCTCGAGAGTTCAACCCACAACAACAACGTCATCCTCTTTTTCCTTCGAATGTCATTTCAGCGCTTGTATTGTAGTGACAGTTTCATACTCGTGTCAATGTCATCAAGCTTTGCCTGTCGGGTATACTGCCACTGCTATTATAGTGCTGATGTAAGACAAAAACCTTTCTGGTGGTCACTACATCCACAGAGACAATGGCGACTCACTAGAAGAACTGCTCGGCCGCCGTCTGCGTGGCATTGGTGCAGCCCCGCGTAAGGTTCACGTAGACATCTCGGGGCACGTAGAACTCGATGTCCTTGTGGTGCAAGGTCACCGTGTCGTTCGCTTTCTCGTTAAGGGTGCCGAACCTGCAAAAGGAGGCAGGTTTTTTTTTTTAAGAACATCGACTTCATAGAATCCCAATATAGCCACGCAAGTATGTGGCTTAAAACTCGATGTCCACCCTACCTATATAACGCTCCTGGTTCGGCATCATATGCCATGTCCATGTAAAATAGGGAAACGTGAAACCTTGCACAGGAGTGCTCCAGAGCTTTAAAGTAAATCTTATCTTACTTCCCCTAAATACAACATTGCACAATGCATGCGTAATAATAGACACATGTATATTTTTCCTACCTGCTTAAAACGTCAATGATTATTAATCAAATGGGCAATCAAGCACACAAAATGCTTTGTGAGAAAGCCCATCTTGCGGTTGGGGGGGGGGGACGCTGCTAAGAACAGCTAAGCCAAATATTGCTGCCATTCGTACTCAGGAGAGATGTGGAGTTCAAAGTTGCTATTTGCACATGAGCCCTACTCTCTTCACTCTCTCTGAAGCTGCTGGCGCCAGCAGTTTGACGTCGTTGAGCAGATAGCATGCCAATGTCTGAAATTAATCAAGAGCTGCATTTGGATAATCTGCGCTTTAAATTCTCCTAATTTTACACAGAGGACCACAATGACGCAAAAAAGTTAATACGGGAAAAGGAGACTATACATAATTACGCTTGTTTAACATTAGATCTTTGACACGCTGATAAACTTCTTATTACCGTGCCATCTCTTTTTGTGTGACTTCCAGTGCGGCTATTGACTACGCTACGGAGGTCATTCAATGATTACATCAAAAAGTGGACTGAAAAGAAAGGTATTCATTATCGTTCGCAGCTTTAGAACACAAACTTCTATCAGAAACTACGCTATGTGCGTCCATATAGCCTACTCACACTCGGTAGAGATCGTGCGCTATGGTGCGGCAGCTAATGTCGGTGTCCCGGACAAAACAGTTGCTGTCGGCCCACTCGGGATCGCACTTGCTCCAGGGAAGCGGCGACTTGAACGAGTGCACCATGTACACCAGGGCGTACGCGAGCAGCACGTTGAAGTACAGGCAAATGAAGAAGCACGCGTACGTCATGCATACACCTATGCCTGCGATTGCAAGGGTCAAGGGTCAGTGAAGTCTAGGTCAAGTGTGCAAGCTTGGCTGCACGTGGGAGGGGCTACGGTGGGACCCACCTTTGGAGAGGGGAAAACAGTTGAAGGCGTGCGTCTGCCCCAGGCTCTGGAACTGTCCCAGCACGAGCTCGAGGTAGTACATGGGCTTGCCGACGGTGATCATCAGGACGGTGTAGGGAACCAAGAAGGCGGCTGGATGTTAAGACGCGCCGATGAACACATTGAATTTTGTTGTATTTATTATGACCTAGTTTGCAAACTGGGGAGGGCCATTCTAGCTTATATCTAGGGTGTACACAGACGTTCAAGAAAGGTGCTAAAACGCGGATCGGCGCCACGTTGAGTCAGCCGTGATGCAACATGAAAAAGTTGCCAAAGGACCGTGGGACTTTGGTTAAATGATATGTCAATGGTTATATCAAAATACCACCAGAGTGAGCATGTGTCGCTGAAAGAAGATTATGGAATTATGAATTGATTTTAACATGTTCAAAGAAGGAATGCGTTTGAAGGTAAAGTGTCTGCAAGAGGACTCGTCTTCGTGCAGGAAAAGACTCACGAAGACAAGTATGCTTGCCGGGAATCAGGCGTTCGAAACTAGTTGATCCGTTCAAGACTCCATACTCCTCGGCAACTTGAAGAAGATGAGTAGTCTACTCGGAACGTTGACTACACTGCACAGACGCCCCTCGTTCGAACTCCGCCAATTACAATACAAGCCAAATAAACGCGGTAAAGTTTGGTGCTATATTCAATCCAACCATAGGGACCAACGTCTGCGGCTTGCCAGTGTGCGTCACGTGCCAAAAGCATTCTCATTTGACTCCTATAATTTAGTGTGCCACACTTCGGCTTTATTTGGATCGTCCTGAGAGAACAACTTTATTGACCTTCTAAGACCCAACGTGAAGGCAAACAGCTGCAGAAATCCTTGATAAGAATTTTTAGGGGCGAAGCTTCTCAAAGCGTAAACTTGCCTTCCGTAGTTGTCTGTCGTATCCACCCCTAGTACGCGAAGTGTTCACTAAATGGCACTGCCATCATTCGAGATGTTTCAATAAACAGACAGACAGACACGGACGGACAGATGGACAGACGGTCAAACATGCAGACAGACGGACGGATGGACAAACGAACGAACGGATGGACGCTTGGCCCCACTCATCATCATTTACTCCGTGCATATCTTGTGAATTTTTTTCTGGCGTTTCGCTGATGATAAAGTGGTTGTTCTAATTATACTTAACCATTAAATTTTTTCAGACCCAAAGAACATGAAGTTTTCGTGCATTATAAGATGGTAAGAACACCAACCACTTTTTACGCGAATGAAGTAGTCTGTGACAAAGTGCTAGAGGCCAAATGCCCAGTTGAAGCATAGTGGTTCTGTCCCAGCCAAACCTTCTGTTATTTTCGTCACTATTAGTTATGTCACAGCTAATTCATCGGCTTCAACTAGCCCAAAATTCATAGTTATTTATTGAGGAACCCTCAATTCAGAAAAAAAAAACAAGTTTATATTAGCAAAGTGAAAGAGATCATCGATCGCAGGCTCTCACCACCACCGTTGGCGTAGGCCATGTAAGGGAATCGCCAGATGTTTCCGAGGCCCACAGACATGCCGATGCAGGAGAGGATGAACTCCACCTTGTTGGCCCACTTCTGGCGTTCCGGCTCCCCTTCGGTGGCCTCGCCTTCCCGTGGAGCCAGCGGTTCCGCCTCCTGCTTTGCCGGCTGTGTTGGCATCACCTGATCCGCCATTGGCTTTCCTTCGTGCTACAAGTCTCGAATTGCCGTGCCTCAACCTCCGCCTTGATCAGCGACACAGGTGGCCCGCAGCTATTGCCGATCGACTCTGCCCGCAACCGCAGTAGAACGCTTCTTCTGTCTCGCGGAGCTTGACACCGCGAATCGCGTGGCGTGCTTCTTGATCTTCTTCCCTGCACGCTCCACCGCACGAACCAAGACACGCCAAGGCACGAACCATTTGCGCGTCACAGGCCAGTGAAAACAGTAATCGATGATGATAGACGCGCCAAGCAATTTTTCTAAATTTCGCCCAGCACAACAAGACACCGAGGAAAACCGGGTACTGGAGCTAAACAAAGATCGCAATGACCATGAACGCCTGAGACACTTCTGTGGTCACATAGTTCCACCTTTTTCATTTGTCCACAAGATGCCGTGCTAATCCCTTGTAGTGGGTGTGAGCCATGCGTTTCGAGTCGAGCGATCTCTACGCAGCAATTAAGAACGAGTGTGCGTGTGAGCTAACGAACTAGAAATCGATTGATTTGATTGATTGAATGATTGGTGGGCTTTAACGTCCCAAAACCACCCCATGATTATGAGAGACGCCGTAGTGGAGGGCTCCGGATATTTTGACCACCTGGGGTTCTTTAACGTGCACCCAAATCTGAGCACACCGGCCTACGACATTTCCGCCTCCATCGGAAATGCAGCCGCCGCAGCCGGGATTTGAACCCGCGACCTGCGGGTCAGCAGCCGAGTACCTTAGCCACTAGACCACCGCGGTGGGGCAACGAACTAGAAATCAACGTCTACGATGCTTACATTGACAGTCGTCCAGTTCCTCGCGCCTGCCCTTCTCTCATGGCTGGAGTACGGAGCTCAACGACCCCGAAAGCTCTTCCAGAAGCCCGATGTCGTCCGCCTATCGGCTCTCGATCTTCTAGGAGCTGAGGACACTCCGTGTGACGTTCGAGGTCGTGAGGACAAGTTCTGCCTGCGAGATCGCGACGACGATACACCGAAGAATCACGTGTCGCAGTGTCCCGTAGAGTTCGGTGGAAGCGGAGGAACAAACACATCGGCTACGCGCCACCCGAACCACGTGATCTCAACCAGAAACGCTGGCTTGCCGACGTGTGCCAAGGTATACGCTTATTCCTTCTTCCCGTACCCATTTTACTGCGAAAGCTGTGACGAGATCACAAGAACAGCCGATTTCGGCATCGCGATTACCCGCCGCCACTGCTGCCACCCGTAATGGCTATAGCGCGCAATGAGGAAACTGAATTGCAGAATAGAGCGGGATTCAAACCCAGGTCGGCCATGTGGCAGGCGAGTATCCCTACACAACAGAGCCACGCGAGTGCTTGAAACTCGAGCGCAAGAATACTCTACAGAGGCGTCATGGCGGGCAAGGAATTGCCCTAACATGCCAAATATAGCGTGCTACGACACCAAGCCTCACTCAAGTATAATCGCGTAATGAGTGGGTGGTTTAACGCTTTCTACCTATCACAAAAGGCTTGGCCATATTTCTTCATCGTCATCAGTGAAAACATCAGCAATGTGCACAGTTTCTTACGAATATGTAGCGGCTATTTCACTTCTTCCCAAAAGGATGAGTAATGACAAAGTGGGTGCTTACCTTTCTCGGTTATTTGAGTTGTATGGCATAAGTGGAATATTGTAACCATACTTGTAGTAATCATCTAGAGAGGGGAGGGGGGTAGTGATTCCTAAATTAGAGAAGAGAAAAGTGAGTTCCGCAACTGTCTGCATCAAAGTTCGACACCTCCGCAGTAGCTCACAAGGGAAGGAGATAAGGAGGGACTAAAATGATACAGTGAGAAATAAGTATTGAGGAGGGAACAATGGGGACACGGTCGGTGGAGTCCGAGGACGGGGTACCAATCAGCGAGAGCTTCACGGCGACAAGAGATGGCGGAGGGTGAACCGGTGGGCCAGAGCTGCGCTGTCGTCGGAGATCACGGGAGCAAAACCGTTCGATGCTGTTCTAAAGCCGAATCAAGGGCTTTACGCTGCTCGAGTAGGTACAGCGAGTGCGTTTTGGGCTGAACGCAGGCTTGCAGTTTTATTATTATTATTACTATTAATATTATTATTCAGAAAGTACTCCGCATGCCTTGTCTTTCAGCGACAGTTAAAGATTCACTAAAATCACTCAGCAGTGGGTGATAAGATGATGCACCTTTATCTTTACTGAATCACTTCTTGTTAACTAACTGGTATAGTCTGTGACTATTTAGGGTGCAATGAGGTCCTCCTGAATAGTTTATTAGTGGTACACTAGAAATTTCGCGACAAAACCATATCAATCTTTCACACTCGTTTTTTTTTTGTGTGGTATTCGCTTCATTTAGTGGGAATGTTCACAGAACATTTGGGACGACGCTCTGTCTTCCCGTAGTAATGTACGAATTGCTCTGAATCGTTAAACAATTTTTCTAACCACCATTTTCAAGTGTCAGGCCAACGGGTGGCTGTACGCTTTCCCACAGTAGAGTACAAGGTACTCTAAATCATTCACCACTTTTTCCTCAACAAGGTACTCTAAATCAATACAAGGTACTCTAAATCATTCACCAACACGCAACCGAATCCGGGTTCAACACCAAAGTCGAGTTTTCGTGTATACGCGGCCTCGTCAAGTGTGAGGTACACGGGATGGCTTTCAGCTCTCCTATCATAGAGTACACCGAGTACTATAAATATTAACCACTTTTTTCTAAACAACACAACTGTAAACCCCGCTTCCACGAATCTTTGTGACCCATACCGGGACGGCTTTATGACCTCCCATAGTAGAGCACCAAGTGTGTTTAGAGAAAAAAAAAAGGTTAACGATTTTGAGTACTTCGTACTCAACTATGGTAGAGCGTTGAGCCGTCCCTAAAAGCCCCTAAAAGCGTTAAATGTCCTGGAAACACTTGATTGCACTCTATCGTTTCATACTTTTTCTGAACATACGTTGGCAGTGTTGCTCGCTAAAGTATCCCAATAAATTTAGGGGGCAGCAAGGACAATGCTGGGTAGGAGATGTGCGGATGAGCACAAGTATACGCAAGGTATATCATACAACACTTCTCGGGCTTGCATTACTAGAATTTCGTGAAAAAACACTGGCCTTTAGGTTGAACGCAAAATAAGGAGTGTAGACACAGCCTCTTCATAAAAAAAAAAAAAGTTCGGGTTGTTGCATTGCGCTGGAACACATGAGTACAAATTGGAGTGCAGGGTTGACAGTTTCGTTCATGCTGGTTCTAGTGTTGAATTCCAATGGCAGATCCAGACCAAGTTTTGCTGCTCTGAGCGGAGCAATCACATTCCAATGGCGGATTGGGAGCGTGTATTGTGTGTTCCAAAGGCAGACTGAGAGCAACGGCAGATCACGGATCGCTCCTTGGAGCAAGAATTCTTGCTCCGCCGAAATCGGCGCGTTTGACCGGAAGTGCAAGTGACGTATTCTGTACGCTCGCCTTTCATCCAATCACCAGTGGATGTCCGGAAAACGCTTTGCACTTTTTCCCACACCCTCTCGTTCTCCCGCCCTAGATTTCCGCTCACCAACAGCTCCCGTCAAGACACGTGCGTTCCAATCGCAGCTTTGGCGAGAGCAATGCTGGTCGGACGTGCGCGCTATATATATTCGCAATCCGGCCCAGTGCTCGCGATAGGGAATTGGTGCAGCTAGAGGCATTGCCCTCTTCCTGTCTCTCCTGCTCCCCTCACTTTCCCACCTCCTTCATATACTGTTATACCTGACTAGGCTTGCTGCCTCTAGTCTCTATATCTCTCTTTTTCTCGCTGCGAGCTCGTGCTCTCGCTTGCGTTTTTGTTGACAGTTACTACGCCATCTTAGTTGGACAGTGTACACGAAACAGCTCCCCCAACGTGAAAACTAAGGAGTTGCGAAGCACTATAGAGACATGTCCATAGCAACGAGAAGACGCTGGCTGTCGTCTCATTGATACAGACGGCGTCGCAGACGGCGCTTGGTGTCCGTCGCAGACAGCGTCCATCGCAGCAACTAAGAATATAGTGCGCCAACGCACCGCCGTCTTATAACTTGCGACTCGGGAGATCAGCTACGGCACCTCTTCGCAGATGATCACGTGACGTAGGCGTGACTTAACGCCCGCCGCACTGGTGTGGCCGGTGGCTCAAGGTCATTGCGACGGGAACAACAACAACAACAACAACAACAACAACAACAACAACAACAACAACAACAACAACAACAACAACAACAACAACAACAACAACAACAACAACAACAACGACGACGACGACGACAACAACAACAACAACAACAATAATAATAATAATAATATAAAGTTTGTTAACCATCAGTGACAATCTTGTTGACGGAGTTCCAACTTCCGCAAAGATAGCAGTAGCGGGCACAAAAAATAAAAGTAAAATACATAAAGTATTGACAGTTATGTGCACATAAATAGACTTGAGAAAAGGCGAAAACAAAAAGCACGTACACAGAGCATTGCCACTTGCCCCTACAAAGTGAAAAGAAAGTTATACATGTCGCTGAATAACTCTCTGATTAGAGTGATTTTGGGAGAGATTGGCGTAGTAGAGCTTCCGCTAAAAAGTGCAACCGCAGGGCCGGCTGCCTCACTGCGATGACTATTTCGTGCGCACTGGAGTCAAAGTCGCCCTAGACGAGGTCTGCCTTAACGGTCGCTGGCAGAGTGGTCATCGACGGCCTCCTCAACCAGGAGGAGTGTGACCTCCTGCTCAGGCTTAGCGCGAGTTCAGTCTTATCACATTCAGCCATGGATTTTTTTTATTTTGACCTGTGGGTGTTCTTGTGTGCGTTTTATCAATGGTTAGGAATTTAGAAGACCCGACACAAAAATTGATGCAGGGGTGCAAACATTTATGAAATAACACACATGGTTTGAAATCAGGTCATGAGGAACAGTGGTCGTCATTTTAGAAAAGTAGCTACTTTATTCCTGCTGCTCACTAGA